TAATTCAATTTTACCTAAATATCTCGCAACCTGCCGTATACCGGTTTTTGTCTGGATTATTAAGTCCCTTTATCTTTCATTGTGACGGCGTTAAATAATGATGCGATCTCGAGATCTTTCTTTTTAATAGTCCGATCGGCCTCTTCGAGTTTATTTTCTTCGATTTCCTTGCTGACATCAACATATTCTTCACCTGATTTTCCCTTCGACGATGGCGAGTCACTCTTCCTCACTTGACTCACCTGCCGACCCAATTCTTCATCCCATCCCCCCAGAACACACTCTTTCTCGTTGGGAGAGCATTTCCGTCGAGGTTCATTTTCTGATTTCTCATCTCGAATTCTGCCGTCGTGCACCATTGATCTATCACCAACGTTCCTAAATTCCTCTAATTTCAGCTCTAATTCTTTTGCCCGCTTCTCAAAATGTTCACACTTATTTTTATATTCGCTAGCAACCAATGTGGATTCGTCAATTTTTTGTGTATACTCTCTAATCAATTCCGCCCTGTGGGACTCGCACATTTCTATGTGATGATCACATTTACATTTTTCGATGTGACGACCGTATGTGCATCTTTCCACTCGAGAGTCACTTACAAATTGTTCGTCAAAGCTCTTTGGCGATTGGGTGTCCTCATCTATAAATACCTGTCAAACGAATGTTCAGATCAGTCGGAAAATAACTTATTTCATCACAGTTGAAGAGGGAATATACCTTTTTGTTCCTTGCTTCTAAAACATCTCTAACACTATTTAACGAATTATTTATCATTTGAAGCCTATTTGATTCTTCGCGACTGTATAATAGCTCGTTCTTTTACATTGCGGAATGGAAAGTAAGATAGAAGAGATGTTAACGGTGAAGAAAGAACTTTAGGATTGACTGATAGTCACACTAACCTCCAAATATTTGTAAATAGACATATTCGAATCAGCATATGCCCCGTTTCTAATGCGTTTTGTTTGCTGATGTTCGTCACGGGCAGAATTAGTTGGTCATTAGAATGACGAGTAGGGAGGCTAAAAAACACATCTTACCCATACCTCAACACTTAAAGAAATTAAAGATTGACGATGTATGGAGAAAATCGTCAATGACACTAATAAATAAAAAGAACTCGGTATAGATATTCTGACACGTACTCTCTTGATTTTAATCCAATCACGCTATTACTATTATTGTTAAGCTTAGGTAAATTATCGTCAAACGACGACAAAATATAAACCATAGCAGAAACCTTTCGGAACATCAATCTACGATCGGAGTCGTTATATATGTCAATCCCAAATTCCTATCGT